AAAGGACATTACAGAATAAAATTATAAGAGAAAATTAGTAATGATGACTTGAACACCCCTTGGCACATAATTAATATTAGTGTAAACCATTTTAAATGAAACATATTGACTCAATAATCTGTGTTTGGCAACACTGTGAATAGATTAGTTCAGTTAATAGCTGTTGGTACTTGAGAATAAGGCTGTCTGTTTAAATTTCTTCTAAACAATATTATTTTGACCAAGTCAAATAGACTTTTGCTGAATTTTAGTCTGTATTAAAAAACTTAAAATATATATATTGAAATTTGAAGCTGAATTTGTTAAAGGAAAATAATTGCTATTTTGTCATTGGAGACAGGATTCACAAAGATGCATTCGGTAATAATTCAAGCCTTTTAAGATTCTTTTCCTAGGAAATAGCAATAAGCAGACAAACTGCTCCTCTGCATGAATATCTTTTGATTTAAAACTGGTATGATGCTCATTAAAATAATTGAAAGAATTACATACAATTAGTGAGCTAGTTATGCCTAAGAAGCAGACACTGGCTCTTCACTTACTTGGCATACTACTTAAATCCCAAACTTCAAAAATATGGTATACTATATATGGAGATAAATTAAATATTTAGAGATAACTAATCAGTAGAACTAAAACTGCATCCTTCAATACCCCAAGGACCAATAAGACACCAAAGTTCAAAGATATGGCTCAGAATACTGATTTTCTAAGAGCATCCGACTGCAGAAGAACAGATGGTCTGTGAACAATAAAGATTCTAAAGAAATACACGTTTCAGCATGACATATAAAGCATGTGGGCTGAAATGATAAGAAGCATATAGGAAAACTAATTAATCATTGTCACCAACAAAATAACACATAGAGAGGCTCAGGAGGTTTCTGGTAAGCCAAAAGTGGGCAACTTCATTTCTAACAACTGGATAACAATTGAGCACAGCGGATATTTGACACAGTTGTTTCCAACAATGTTTAAAAACTACAGGCTTCCATTATGGTTATACGACACTGAGCCTTTTACTTGTGTTTCTGTTCACATGTTCATTTCATCTGGGGCTAGTAAGTACCTATATTACAGAAATCAATGTGGTATAACTAAATTGAATGCAAATTTTAATCCTTTGGTAAGAAATACCATAGATGAAATCCACAAACTCATTATAGCAGACTGGTTAAATGCAGACTCTGGCACCAAACTGCCTGCCTGTGGTTAATCGTAGGTTACTTACTTAACTTTTCTCTCCTTCAGTCTCCTCATTTATTAAACAGAAGGTATTAATAAGACCTTATTATTCAGGTTTCTATGAAGACTGAACTGGTTAACAGTGATAAAGAGCTCAGAATAGTGCCTGCACGTCACAGGTACTACATAAGTGTTAAATACATGAATAAGAAGGCTTTTTAAACCATCTGATTTTCTGCCCTACAGTTAGGGAGACATCACACTCTCCGGGACTAAGAGAATAGACACAGGCTAAAAAACAATGCAGGTTATTTTAATAGTTTGTGTTATCTTCCTCCCCACTATGTCCTACCACCTGAACTAGATTACCTCTTAGTTTCTTCTAGTTAAAAGAAAAAGATCATTTATCTTATTGGAAACAAACAAAATTCCCTTTTCTGACACTCGGTTTAAAAAGAATAGCCTTTTTCTTTAACTTTATAAAATTAAGTTTGATTAGCTTAGTTATCCTCCAGTAGATTACAGGTCCCAAGAAATCACTCAATCATTCTTACTTCAGCCTTCGCTTAGTCAAAGCAAAAGTTTAATTGTTGTTGACTAAGTGATGAACTTCTTTAAAAGAAATCAATCGTATGGATTATCGTTTCGAACTCCAGGAAGGTAAACGTTAAATCTCAAATTAATATAAATTTCTATACCTAACATGCCCTTAAACCTCCCCTAGTGCAATTACAACTATTGGTTTTTTAAAGAGACTTAAGCACTGAAATGGAATTGACATTTGGACCAGGGAGAAATGGAAGAAAACATGAAGATAGAAATCCAGGGGCAGGGGACAAAAGGGGTTCCCAGAATCTCTGCCCAGTTTCCTAAAGAAATGAGTTTAGTAGCTATGACCATCCTGCACAAAAAGTGCCAGGATCTGTGAACAAACTTAAATCTGTGAATAGCAGGTTGGTGATGTGTCAAAGTTCCTTTGGAATTCATAGGGAAAGTTTCACATCTTTGGGCTATAAACAAACATTTTTGCCAATAGTAAAATTACAACATCTCCCAAAGCAATCAAATTCAACAGTGCTGTAGCTCCATCTGTGGCACAAATTCTACCCACCAGGGTAGAATTTTTTTTTTAATTCCATGAGGGAAAGGTTGCATGCATGTACTTATGTACTTGCCCTTCTGATAGTTTTTTACACAACAGTTAATCTTGAGTCCTAACTTTCTGGATCACTTAAGATAGAAATGCTGCCAAGGAAAATGCATACATTCATTTTGAAAACCATCACGAATTACATGCACCTCCCTTTGAAATATAGACTGCAAATTTTTTCCCCCAATGGCATCATATGAGGGTCACAACTTGAAATATCTGGTAATGGATGTCGATAACAAACAATAATGGTTTGCTACCTTGATAATGAAAGGAAGCATTAAAAGACCAATCTATTGCTCTACTCCTTCCAAATTAGCTATGAGTTTGTACCACCTAAAGCTCAGAAAATAGATTTCCTTTAGGAGAGGGATCCCTGCGCTTGGGGCAGCTGCTGCCATGTGAATGGTTCTGTCTTTGGGTGGCTTGGAATTGATGGTTAGGCTGAAAGTATACAGGAAATCATTATCAATAGTATAGAATCCAGACTTGCACTTTTTATGCACAAAAAATATTCTTTTTCATTACACTAACAGCAAATTTAACTCTGGTTTTCTACTACTTAACAACTTATTAGCCTAGTTAGAATAATGAATGAAGACAATATTTATTAGAAAAAAAGCTACTTTCATGACTTAAAAACTCATGCCTACCTATATATTCTTTTTTTGATGAAGAGCTCAGTCTCGTGTTTCTCTGTCACTCCCTCAACACCCAGGGTCCTGCTCCTCACCCCAGGACTCAACACATGCTCATCTCAGGAACTGCCCTCCCTGCTTATCTCCTTGGCCCTTTAAACCAGATAAAGTCTACCCTCCTAACTTGGCTTGTCCTGAGAGTTGAATTCAAAGAGACCTGCATTTACTCCTGCCTCTTTAGGCATCATGGCAACATGAATGTTTTTACAATGGAAGCTGCCTCACAGGGGCTGTGCCTGCTGCAGGGCTGTCCCTTAAGTTCTGAGGGTGGTCTTCCAACTGCATTTTAAAAAATTATTCCTTTCCTCTACCCTCAACTCACTCACTTAAAAAACAAAAACAAAACAAGAAAAGAAAAACCTTTTTCTTCCTTTCACAAAACTAAACCAAATTAATAAAAACAAAAACTTACTTCCAAACAAAGCTTACACATTTAAAACCAACGTTACCGTAGCTGAGTCGGTCTTTCATAACCATTTCCTCATTCCAAACCACATCATCTATAAACCCAATAAAATACATTTTACTAGCTTGTTTTTTCCTTCACCCTTTTCCAATTTACACATGACCAAATAAATTAGGAAACGTGATATGCAGAATTAATTTCAAATTTTTAATTCAACTCTATTTCCTATTATTTATTTTCTTTTAGGACTAGTCTAAGAGCTTTCCAGAACAATTGTCCTATAACATAGTGTCCAACTTCTAATGCCTCAAAAGGCAAACAAACTCAAAATACTTATGAAATATAAATTTTATAATGAGCTGGACAACCAAGTTTTTAAAAACTTGACAATTTCCTCCACGCAGATTAAATATATGTGTAGTTTTATATAATTATATAGAAAATTGTTTTTCAGCTTTATTTAGTGATATGAGGATGTTGCTTGAAATCTTGGATTATACATTAGGCTTTCTTTGCTATTCTCCTTGTATAGGACAGGACTTTACATGGAGAACCCTCAAATATTTTATTCACAGACTTTAAAACACGGTAACAGTGGTTTATAAATAAGTAAACTTCTTAACACACTACATTCTCTCCTAAGCTAGGAAAGTAATATCGGCCATATCAGATCCTTGGTGTTCAAAGTTAAAACAAGTACTGTTTCTTAACAATGGTTTCATCTAAAAATTACTACACAAGCTAATGTAGAAACATTTGGACATACAAGTAACCAAAATCTAGTCTTACCACCACCACCTCAGATTATAAGGAATTATTAAAAAGCAAACATTTTGTAAAACATAAACATATTGAATACAGAGGATGATATAGACACAAACAATTGTTTCATGGTAAAGTGAGAAGTAGCTATGCTGATTAATATAAATTTTAAAATAATGAAATAGGATTCAGATATAATTTTCCTCAGACTGAAAAGGTATTAACGACCTACATACTCTAGTTATAGGGCCAGATGGATATGTTACATGAAATTTAGAAAATGGATAAGAAATTAAGACCTACAGTTAGGTAAACACTATGGTGTGCATTTGATCTTCTAAAGCACATCAAATCAGGTTAACGAAACACAACCTCATCTAAACAGGAAGCCCAAATTTAAGGGTTTGTCAAAAAATTGTGTAACAAAAGAAAACCGGTAAGACCAAGAAAGTCACCCTATATATATTTTTTATTTGAAAAAGTCTTTCTCCACATTTTTAATGGGTTACTTATAATTTTAACTGATGATATTTTCCTGTCACAAAAACCTTTAAGAGTTACCTAATCTATTTTTCCTAATTAGGAATTTTCCCACTAGGGATACCAGGCCTTAGACGGGTGCTAAAGCTTCAGCTTATTCACTTCATTAGTGGCCTCTTTAGGACTTTTCTGAAAGAATTCTCTGGGGGTGGGGAGAGTGTTTTATTTGGTCTGATTTCAAAAACTGAGATTTGTTTAAAAAAAGAAATGGCACAATCCAGTGAAAAGGGGAATGGCGCCACCAGAGGATGTGTCTTACCATACAGGTATCCAGATCTTCCAAACGCTCTATCTCTGTTAGCTCCTCCACTGTGATGATGGAACGTTTAACTGGCTTCTCCTCAGTCAGCTCGATCTCTAAGGATTCTTGTTGAGGAAGGGTCTTGCCACGTCTGCTGAAATGGTCAGCCTAGAAGGTCAAGACGCATATGTGGAGAAATTAAAGCACAGAGACCAGAAGCGCTGGTTAGCTGGATTTCTGAAGACATCTTCCACAAGATGGCGCAGTGGAGCACAATGTTGACAAGTGATAAGGACAATTCTTAATATATGAACAGTACAGTAACTTACCTCTTTTATTATCTTTCTTTGGAATCAGAGTGTTTTAAGCAATAAATTATAAATGTCTTTTAGTAAATGAAGAGACAACTTAGTAGTGTTTTTATTAATTTTGATATTTCCTCTGAAGAAATTTCCTTCTATATCTAGTACTAAAAAGTATCTGAGAGCAATAAAACAATTCCAACTTTCATTATTTTTAAAGGAATGAAAGGAAGGAAATTACTAGCAAAATTTTAATTACTGCTAGCTTTCATTGTTTTCATATAATGAATACCATATTTGATATGATTTCTTAATTTCCAGTGTTACACTTTAGGTAAACATAACAAATTAAATAAGAGATAGAATAAACTTAGCTGAAATTAATAAACTTCAGTGCTGAGCTGATCTGACACCAGAAACTTTGATTTAATTCTGAAACACTGAAAACCAGTTGGTAAGTCTATGGAAACTCTGAGAACGTTTACAAACTTAAGTTAGTGAAAATGGTATCTGAAAGTCATTGAAAACAAGGTTTCATTTTGAAGATAGTATTTCCTTCATATGGGACTTAATCTCTTTCCTTACAATCTAAATCAGCAGTACTAATGTTAAAATGAAGTGCAAACCAAAAGTGCATTCAGCAAATTTTTTCTCAATTAAAAAAGTCAATACTTTCTGAGTAAATTCTTTAAGAAAAAACAAATGCAAAAAAGTGAAAAATTCAAACCTTCAGTGTAGTTCTCACATGAAGATTTCTGTTAGTATAATATGTAGTATTTGTGTCATAAGTAAGCATTTTAAGGCCATTCCTGGAGCTATGGGTTATCAATAAACTTTCTAAAAAAAAGCTTATTTTAAAAGGATGCTCTAGGCCAGGTGCAGTGGCTCGCACCTGTAATCCCAGCACTTTGAGAGGCTGAGGCAGGTGGATCACTTGAGGTCACGAGATCAAGAAAGGATTTCACATGGTGAAACCTCATCTCTACTAAAAATACAAAAATTAGTCAGGTGTGGTGGTGCACACCTGTCATCCCAGCTACTCCGGAGGCTGAGGCAGGAGAATTGCTTGAACCTAGGGGCGGAGGTTGCAGTGAGCCAAGATCGCACCACTGCACTCCGGCCTGGGCGACAGAGCAAGACTCCCATCTCGAATGAATGAATGGATACTCTATTGCTTTTGTTTGTATTTACTTACAAAAAAGAAAAGGCTGAATTAGGAGCTCTAAACAATCATGTAGCTCTTTACTGTGCCAGGAAATAGAAAACAGTGTTTCTTACATTCAATGTGGTGATAAACTGGTTTTTTATATTTCCAATTTAGCACAAAACAATTTACTGTTAAAATACAATAAAAAGAAAAATCAGAAAAATAACATGTGTTTGGAGACTCTATCTTTTTTTGGTGCTATAATGAAAAAACACATTTTTTCATATGCACTGATATTGGAAGCTCAAGAAGTTTTTGGATGCTTCCTCTGGGGAACCATCCATTAGTGGGCCACCTCTGGTCCACAGGCAGCACTTGAATCGTGCTATTAGAGATGTGTGTCTTGTCTTTCGGATTTTAGAAGGCAGTCTCGCACATTTTTCTCAAATGAATTTTTCAAAAACATGCATTTTGTCTGCTTCATGAAGAAGAAGCTGTTGCTACTCCTCCCATTTTAGGATTCTCTAGTGTCAACCAATAATTCAATACCATGAAACTGGCATCTCCATCCCACACAGTTAAGAAAACATTGAAGAGTTATTTTTCTTGAAGGAAACATTGCTATAACTTTCCTGGGAGACTTCCACTGCATCATATTGAGACATAAGATATAATCAGTTATAAAAGCTTCATCTGTACTTCAGAGAACATCCTCAAGTTTGCGAAACATTGAGTTTCTGACACATTTTTTCGTATGCACTGATACTGGAAGTAAAGTCCCCTACCTAATCATGCTGCTATAAAGACACATGCACACGTATGTTTATTGCGGCACTATTCACAATAGCAAAGACTTGGAATCAACCCAAATGTCCATCAGTGACAGACTGCATTAAGAAAATGTGGCACATATACACCATGGAATACTATGCAGCCATAAAAAAGGATGAGTTTGTGTCCTTTGTAGGGACATGGATGCAGCTGGAAACCATCATTCTCAGCAAACTATCGCAAGAACAGAAAACCAAACACCGCATGTTCTCACTCATAGATGGGAACTGAACAATGAGATCACTTGGACTCGGGAAGGGGAACATCACACACCGGGGCCTATCACGGGGAGGGGGGAGGGGGGAGGGATTGCATTGGGAGTTATACCTGATGTAAATGACGAGTTGATGGGTGCTGACGAGCTGATGGGTGCAGCACACCAACATGGCACAAGTATACATATGTAACAAACCTGCACGTTATGCACATGTACCCTAGAACTTAAAGTATTAAAAAAAAAAAAAAGGCACAATCCAGTGCCATTTTCTAGAGACAGTGCCAGTCTCTAGATGAAGAAAATATATATTTTTTTACCTTGGTTATATCCAAGGCACCTGTTGGCCAGTCAGCAACTATCCATCACTAAATTATGCCCATTTTGTTATTGCACTTTCTTTATTCAAATATTTTTATTTTCTACCATATTTTTAGAATAGTCCATTATCACATAATCATATCAGCAACAAATGAGCAAAGATACATTAAAATGTTAATTTTAGACCTCAGTCTCAACGTTTCTTCCCCAAACTTTTGACCTTCATTATAAATGAACAATAAGATTTCTGGATATAATCAGTTCTGCTTTCCCTTATCATTCTCTCTGGAGAAGTTCTAACATGCTCCAGAATGGCTAGAAGCAACATAGAAGAGAAAGGAGGAAAATAAAGATCACAAACCATAAAGCTGTAATAGTGTGAAAGAAATCACATTCCCACACCGGAAGTCATCTTGCATCACAGCAGAGATGAAACAGGAGGTCCTGCTCAAGATGTGCACAGCACTCACCAGTTTATGATGGCAATGTGAGAGTGCATCCAGGATTTCGTCTACAATTCGATCAGACAGGAAGGAGGCCACTGTCAACTTTACTTCACTATGTGAAAATCAAAAGGACAGAGTATTATTTTAATTTGTGCAACGGGGGAAAAATCATCCATCCTTGCTGCTATAGTGATAAGGTCAATTGTGATTCCATTTCTGTCTTTGAAAGTAGAATATAAGAATGTGTGAACAGGACTAAGGATTTCCAAAAATAAACCTTAAACACTGCCATAAACACACAAGTAATAGACTTTTTTACCAATTTCAACCTGCCTCTGCAATTTCAAAACTCAAGATTTAATGGTAGAAATGAAAAACATCTGGATAAAAACAAAGTTAATGGGAACCATATGTACCATGTGGTGAGGAACAATTCATCCATTGACATAAAGGAAAACAAACCTGGGCTGGAGTAAATTAAGAAAGTCTAGCCTGGTTGTTAAGTCTTAGTTACTGCTTTAGTATGCATATCACTCACCCTTTTAAAAAACTTTTCACCAATCAAATGATACCGTAACTGCGTCTGCTTTGACTGACCATCTTACTTTGAATATTTACAAAATCATCTACCCTTAACTTTTATGAAGACAGGTTACTGAAATTTGCAGTTCTGGTGCCTGTTGCCTGACCTCAGAAAGTTGTCTACACAGCAGAAAGTGGCTTGTTGTTTTTACTAATAAACAGACCCAGCCACTAAGAGTCTGTCAGATGGCTGGTATTTTTGTTTGCATTTTTGCAATTTGGTATTCCCAAGAATTCCACTTTTATGTGTGTTCTCGGTCTGAATATCTTAATGCACATATGTACAAATGTACATTAAGCACAATATATTTAAAGGTAAATATGTGAAAGAAATACATACCTATATTCCAACACTGTCTCATAAGCTAACGTTGAAAAGATATTCGTGTAACACGGAAAAAATCTTGCCAACCTAAAGGCAATAATTTGCATGGAAATTTCTCTGCCCAGGGAGATTTTTGAATAGAAGTACTTTTTACTGACAGTAAAAATTATCTTAAGCTAAAGATAAAAAATACGTTTAATTTCTGCCCCTGAAACAAGGTATCACTAGCTATTTGCTTTATCTGATACTTTCCTATTCCCCAGAGGTGTCTACTGATACAAGATTCACCCAGGTCTCATATTAAAAATACAAGTTACTGGTCCCACTCCAAACTCTCAGAGGTACCTGAAAATCTAGTTTTAAGTACTTCCTCTGATTCTTTTTAGGCATGTTTAGAAATTATACGTCCTCATAAAACTATAGGTTCAATAGCTTCTCCTTCTCTCTGAAAGTGGGTAGGAGTGGTTTATCTATTTCAAATTGTAGCACCAAAAAAGATAGAGTCTTAAAAACGCAATTATTTTTTAATATCTCAGGATCGTTCTATTATTTTGCTATTGGATACTATGCTTCCTTACTGGTTAAGCTTCCAGTCTGCAAAGCTTTTAGAGGAAAAGAGTCAACTTAACCTCCCCACGCAAACGTGCATATTATATGAATGTATACATACATGCATGTGTAGGTGTAAATATTTTCCTTCTATCAATGTTCAGTATAATGCATTATAAAAAGCCAAGTAAGGAGTTAATGGACATAAAATTGATTCATTGATGTGTGTTCTATACTGCTGTTCAACTTTCAGAATCTGCCTGTTTTCAAAGGAAATGATCATATTTGACAGAATTTGATACTCAAAGCTATCAGAATAGGATCTATTTGTGGCTGAAACCATTATTATGAAAGAATAGTAGCCAATATATTATTTTCTCCTTAATGTTTAGGCATCTCCAACAAAAAAAAATTCTGAAACCACCAGTTATAAGAAAATGTAAGCACACCTAGTGAAGGGCTAGAGTTTATAAGGTCACTAATCTATGGGGTCCTATAAACCCTCTATAAGTCTTTTCTAAAATTTCTCAAGTCCTTCCAATTGCCTTACAATTCAGCTGAGTAGGATTTAGGGGCTTTAGTTAAACAAAACAAACAAACAAGCAAACAAAAACAAGACCTGAGATTATTCAGTTTTTGCAGAATTTCTAAATCCTCTAAGTTCTATAATCTGGATTTAAAGTCATCAGCCTTTGATATCTAGTTAACGACAATATAATTTGGGGCTTGTTTTGTTTTTGACTCATTTTTCTCATGGACTGTCACTTAGCTATATCATTGTGTGTTAGTACCACCCCCAGCTCTATAGACAGGAGCTATTATTTCTGCTACATCTACATATCTTTATCAATATTCAAAAATGGTTAAAATGGAAAATTAAAAAATGTTTCTGAACTTAGTTTTTAGTCATCTGATTCCCCAACTAAGAAACATTATGAGAATTAGCTGAGCTGTAATGTAATATTGGTGATGGACCAAGAGTCTCTATGTAAAAATTCAGAAAAGTTTGCCAGTAATCACAGCTTCTAAATATTTATATCTTGTCATATTTTTCAAACTTTTTCAAACAGAAATCTAGGTAAACACTGCAAAGACACCATTAATACACACATAGTATTACAGACCCACCAAAATAACCCAGAAGGAAAACATGCTAAGGTCAAAGTGGGCCTCTGCCTATTTATAGGCTGTGCATTTGTTCACAGTTTATGGTGGTAAAAAGCAAACTGATCTCAATCTTCAAGCTAGTGACTTATAAAGGTGAAAGATAAACTTCAGAAACAGAAAACAGGGATTACAAACATGTACCCCCCTCTTAAACATAAAACCCTTAAACAGAGCAGATAATTCTATGTCCTTAAGTAATGCAGGCATTTACGTGATCATCTTATTTTGGAAATGTATAAAACCTATGCATTTATGCACAGTTATATTTATATACAGTTTCTGCCTATTAAACATGCCTAAACATATTATATATGGATACAGCCAACAATAACCCTCTTTACAGCTGCCTCAACTGCGTTTACAGAAATTGCAGCTCCTAGGTTTATTAACATTATAAACCTACCTAATTTTGTTAAGGATATCAATTCCAGACTGCTCCAACAGGACATTTTTAACAAAGGTACGTGGAATAGAAATCTTTTCGGTGCTGGCATGAATCAAGTCTTGTCGAATGTGGGCTTTTTTCATCACATTGGGACAAAGATTCTCAGCAGCATCAACCATGGACTCAAGCAACGCCTGCAATGCAGCACAAGTGAAGGGAAGAGATGATGACACTGCACCAGAGACGCCCGCCATAAAACTGAAAGGTGGTAATATATGATACGGAGCCCTCAGAGAACAGGAGCACGACAGAGTCCCAGAGCACAACCAAGAATTCTGAGCTGCCCCGGGGTGACTTGTGACTGTTGGATGATCATTGATCTCTGGTAATCACTTTAAATCAGACACTTGGCAGAACCAAGCAAGCTTCACGCTGGCATCTGAAGTGTTATGGTGTGTCAGCTGTATTTAACAAAAAGCTATTAAGGAGAAGATTAAAAAATACAAACATCAAGCCTTTATACACACCCTTACCACAAGAAATTGTTTTCCCTGGTACTAGAAAATAAAGTCACAGGCAACCCTAGCAAATATATCATATTTGAATGCTTCTGAGATTCTACAAATCACAGAAACCCCAAATTAGGGTGAACCATTCAATCGCTCTATCAAAACAGCAGTAGCAGAAAAATCACAGAAACTACTGCCAATTTTACTCTTTTAAAAGAAAAGCTTTAGTGTTAGGTAAGATATTAATTATTATGACAACAATAAACAACATGAAAAATAACAGACAACATCAACAGCACTTTATAGACAGCATTAATAATAACAGTTGAAAGACATTCATATAGCACTTTAGAGTTTGAAAAATGTTCTGCACATTTTATCCTTCCAACATCTGTGAAGATGGGAAGGGCAGCTATTCATGTGATCACCATTTTACAGTTGAAGAATGTGAGCTAAGGGAAGTTAAATGATTTGTCTGAGATGGGTGATACGGTTGGAAAGTGTGGAAAGGGCATCAGTGTAGGTCAGATCTAAATTTGAAATCTAGCTGAGTGACATTGGACAAAGTTACTGATCTCTCCATTTTACTTTCCTTGCCCATAAAATGACAATTAAAACATTCTCACCTTATAGGATTATTGAGGATAAATAATATTACATGTGTAATGTGTTCCATAGAGTGTCTAGCACACAATAAGAGCTCAGTGTATCACAGATATTAAAAGCTCAATATATCAGAGACATTATTATTAACCTGATTTCAAAGACTGTTGTTAATGATAAGAAACCCAGTTTTTGAAAGTGAGGCTTGGATTCTATTAACTGGTCCAGTGTGAATAAGGACCAATGAAGCACTATTATCGAAAGACTAGTACAGTGGTTTATCTGCTCACATATTAAAATGCAAAGCACAATCCACTAGTAAAATTTCTCATTGCACTGCAGTATGAGCAGCAGAGTAGCACGCTGTTTACAAGGATCATATGGAAAACCAGGGGAATAGAGGAGGGAGGCAGCTGTTTGAGAAGTTTCCAAAAGCCCTTCCTATTTTGACAGTGGTCTGTCCCCATTATAACTCTGGTTGAATAATCACTGAAGTAGTACATTTTCCAAGAAAGCTCCTATACCAATCATCTGCAAGAGATGCAAGTAAGTCAGTTTAAGGCAAATTAGTTTCCTCTTTGACACTGAAATAAACACATTCTGTTCTAGATGGAGTAATAGTCTGGCACTCCTGATACGAACAACCTCAGGAATCAATATTCTGTTTTAATTCTGTCATGTTCTTCAACATATCAGTTACTTTCTGAAAGGTCTCCCTGCATGACAGTGCTAATTCAGTTTGAATGAACTCCACACCTAAAGGGAAGAAGCCTGGCTTCCAATGTAAACTCTGACATGAAATTTCTGTGGAATGTTAAGTGAGTAGTATCAAGTGAATAATCTGCAGATCTCTGCATTTTCATCTATAAAATTATATAAGGTCTCTTTCTGCTCCATGAACACGTAGCTTTGACCCTATAAAAAGGAATTTTAGCCTGTCTTAGGCATTTAATTAATCCAGCAAATATTCTGCAGTTAGTTCCTTACCACCACCTTTATCCCAACAGTACAATACACCACTTTAAAAGTAACTTCACCCAGGATTTCCTTTGATCCACACAACTAAAGGTAGACTTTAGATGAGGGAACTGGGGCTCACAGGATGTAAGTGAGCTCAAGGTTGCTCAGCTGGTCACTGGAGTTGGTGAGATGGGGACTCAGGTCTTCTGTTTCCTACTCTTGTTTTCTATTCTACCCATCCTCATTTAATGGCCCTGATCAGCAGCCAAAAGAATGTGCCTTTCATCTCTGCTTTATTACTTGTAAGTTTGTTCCCTTGTTCTCTTAAGTAAACAGTATCTAGAGCTGCCAGGTGAACTTTGCAGTGGCAGGACTGGGAGGAAGATGAGAGAGGACTGCAGCCTCTCCTTCATGCCCCATGGACCTCTGCACACCAGACCTGTTCAACATTCATCCTTCCCATGGCTTCAGAGTGTTACTTATATTCTAGTGAGTCTCAACCAAATGTTTATCTACAATCACCTATACAATACATACGATACATACACAATAAAGCCTAGGGAACTTTTCCACCTGAATGTTCTGCTACGGAAAGTTCAACTGCAATGTGTTGTCCTCCCTTCCCCACTCAAACAATAACAACTACAACAGCAAAATCAGGCTTTCATGCTAAGTTCTTTACTGTGAAAAATGGTATCAAACTAGGTGAGAAATTTGCAAGTCTCACTAGACTCTACCTACCCCAACCCCTTCCACCACAACTATCTCCAAAACATGCTAAATTTATTCCTAGATATTTCCTCAAAAGTGGAAATATGTCAAAATTATTATTCTTTAGCACAGAATAAAAATCCCTGAAGTATCTGGTAGATGCTGAGCTTGCCAGCCTCATTTCATGACATCTCTCTCCCTTTCCTTTATAACTAGTCATAATCCAATCATGGTTGTAGTTCCCCATATGATCCAGGCTCTGTTTCCATGCTTTATACATACTGTTTTCTTGACCTAGACTCCTCCATTTCCCCCTCTGGGCCAGAATAAAGCATCTGTACTCCTCTGTACTCAGTTCAATATTTTTCTTTGAGAATATTTTCTTTCTTCCCCTACTCTCTTCACATTCCAAGCTGTATTTGATGAACTGCACTCTTTCCTGATGCCATACAGTGGGAACCTCAGTAATCAAAAATAAAATAAAATAAAATAAAATGCTCAAGAAGTTAGTGACTTTTACCCATTTTTGGGTCAAGACACTCCTTTGAGGATCTGATGAACACTTATCCAGAAAAATTTATATACAATTTTAATAGAATTCTGGAACTTCACAGAGAGCTAGAATCATCAGACTCTAGATACAGAGTTAGAACCTGGTGACAATTGTGAAACCCACCTTACATCCCCAGGGCCTGGCACACTTCTTAAAACAATCACTAAGGAACATATTAAAAAGTATTACAGGCCCAGGGACTCACTAAGTATGGGTACTATATAGTCCATCTTTTCTGTACTAAACTTCAGTGCTACCTCTGTCATTTCTAACATCTGAATATATGTATGGGTCTATTTCTGGGATCTGTTTTTTTGGTTCATCTACCTCTGCATATTGTCTTAATTATCCTAAGTCTTAACATGTAGTAGAACAAGACTACCAACCTTCTTGTTCTTTATATGTGTCTGGCCTATTTTCGAGCACTGCTTTTCCGTATGTTTAGAATCAACTTTGTCAAGTTCTATTAAAAATCTATTGGAATGTCTATTAGAACTGTCAAATAACAGATAAAGTTGGAGAAAAACTGACATCTGTAACAGTAACTTTTCCCACCCACAAATATGACACATATTTTTATTTTAGAATTTCTTTAAAGTCTCTCAATAAACTTTCTCCATTGAGGTGTTAGAGATTTTTGTGTGATTTATTTCCTAGGTACTTTAGATTTTTCGGTTACTATTTTATTATTATTATTATTATTATTCTGAGATGGAGTCTCGCTCTGTCACTCAGGTTGGAGTGCAGTGGTGGCATGATCTTGGCTCACTGCAACCTACATCTCCCAGGTTCAAGCTATTCTTCTGCCTCAGCCTCCTGAGTAGCTGGGATTACAAGCACCTGCCACCATATCCGGCTAATTTTTTTGTATTTTTTTTTAGTAGAGATGGGGTTTTGCCATATTGGCCAGGCTGGTCTCCAACTCCTGACCTCAGGTGATCCACCTGCCTCAGCTTCCCAAAGTGTTGGGATTACAAACATGAGCCACCATACCAGGCTCTCTGTTACTATTTTAAATGGTGACTATTTTTAATGACATTTTCTAACTAGTTGTTGCTGACATATAGAAACACAATTTTTATTTATTTATTTATTTATTTATTTATTTATTTATTTTGAGACAGGATCTCATTCTGCCACACAGGCTGGAGTGCAGTGGTACAATCATAGCTCACTCCCACCTTGCTGGGACTACAGGCACGGGCCACCATGTCCAGCTAATTTTTAAAATTTTTGTAGAGATGAGGTCTCACTGTGTTGTCCAGGCTGGCCTCAAACTCCTTGGCTCAAGTGATCTTCCAGCCTCAGCCTCCCAAACTGCTGGGATTACAGGTGTGAGCCATCGTGCCTGGCCTCATTTTTTACATATTGTTCTACATCTAAAAACCTTGTCATACAAATTCAATAACTTACCTGCAGATTCTTCTGGGTTTTCTAAGTAGGACATCATAAAATCTGCAAATTCTGATAATTTTTCTACCTTTTTAATTCTCACATTTCTCATTTCTTTTGCTTATCATATTGCACTGGCTAAGACCTTCAGTATAAAGCTGAATACAAGTGATGATAATAAACATCTTTGCCTTATTCCTGACTTTAAAGGAAGTATTTCCCCCATTAAAAAAAAAATCTAGACCTAGCAAAAATTGGAAAAAATAGGACGAAAAACATCTATTACCCTAACTCTTCAAATTCACCAGTTGCTAATAATTTGCAATATTTGTTTCTCCCTCTCTCTGAAACACCTGAAAGCATGTAGGCATCATGACCCTCACTGCTAACTTTTTAAGTTATCCATTAACAGCTCATTAGTTTTCAGCCTCTCCTCACTTCCAATATTGGTACTTAAAATTATGTA